ACTGGGATTCGAACCCGCGACCCTCAGATTGCTAGTCGAGCGCCTTATCCACCAGGCCTTATCTACGATATATTAGTAATCTTAATATGAAACAAAGATGGACCATGTTTGCAGCCTTAAATTATTTGTTGGATATTCAGTTGCGAATATCATTAGAGTTATAACCACTCGAAGATGCATTAAAAGACAAAAAAGAAAAAGTTTTTAGTTTTTAAAGTTCCTATCACTATAACTACTTTTCCAAACCTTTCTTTCCAAATGACTTGCTATGAAGACAAAATTCTTAAGGTGCTGTAAGTATTTCTCCCGAAAGACATCTTTCTCCTGATTGGTCCACATATTGAGGAAATGTCGTTGCTGATATTCAGCCACAAGATCTTCCACGAAACCATTGTTGTTTATGAATTTTATCCTCCTCCGTCGCAGGTCGAGAAGAATGGGGGGAATAACAGTATAACTTTTCATTTTTTTGTCTTCAAGCTAGAATAATTTTATACGGCAATATTTTAATTCCTACAATTCTCAACTTTGTTTTATTAATAATGAGAAACATTTCAACTTCCCCAAAAAAACCTAAAAAATAAAATTTATCTGATAATTTGTACTGGAAATAACAACAGGTTTCCAAACTTCATACTTAAAAATAGCAGTGTATCAGTCACAAAAGGTAACGTGTATATCAAACGGACCATAAGAAATTTCCTTTTTTTTTCCAAGAAAAAAACTGCTTTATTATAATTATAGTTTTAAAAAACTCTGTGGGTAATTTCACTAATTTTTTTGTTTATATTTTCATAAAAAATATTTCTCATTTTATCACAGGTAGCTTAAAACAAACTTATGTGAACAAAAGAAGATTAGGTTTAATGTTTGTAAACTTTTGTAACGAATCTCGCAACACGCACTTCTAAAAAATTCACACGTTACACGAAACCGTTATTGGCTTTTAGAAGCACATATATGCATAACAAGAATTACTTTCTGATTTCTAGACGTGCATGTGGAAAATATAAAAAATTGAGCACTACTTATATTTAACGATTCTAACACGTCACTATTTTTTTTTAACTCGTAACGAGCATAAACTGAATCAAACTAACAAAAGAAAATTTTGTGACCTAAAATTTTTTTAAATTCTACAGAAGCAATAATTTCTTGTCATGTATTAATTACAGAATTTCTGATGTTCTCAGCTTTGGTATTAAATTTTATAGGTTTAAAAAGGTAAACTCAGTACTTATGCGAATACACAAGATTTAAAAATTAAAAGATTTTCTAAAATATATATTACGCAGTGACTTTTTTTTTACTTTAGTAGTAAATTAACAAGAAAAGTTCTAGGTATACTGTGTTTCAAACCTCTTGTTCATGGATTCCATCCAATATCTCCTCCATTTCAGCCTCACTCTTCACTCTCTGTCCAACTCTAGAGAACCTTTCTTTGTCTTCACGTTGTTTCTTCAGCTCAGGAAATTGTTTTTCAAAAAACTCCCGTTGTTTGGTCTCTTTAGCTCTGTTAGAAACAGATATACTTTACTTATTTTTCAGTGTTTGTCTCATGTAAAATGTTACTTAATTGTACAGTGTAGCCCCGTTATAACACGATCGTTGAGGTCCACAAAATGTCATCGCGAAACAAGCGGGGTCGTGCTAAATCGGGGTTCAAGAAGGCTTCTAATGTTTACTATAAGTCTACAAAATTTTGTAAAGATACATTTAAAATATTAAAAGTTATTAGTATGTGAACTATAGCGAGGTTGATCCCAGGGACCGAGCCCAGGTCGAAAGAGTTAATGACCCATCGCATTATATCCGAATTCGCGTTAAATCGAGGTTTCACTGTAACTGTAAACAACTTTTGTTTTTGAACAGTGCAGTAATGCTTAATTCTGATTTGGTTATAAGTCTGAGTGTCAACAAATATTCAATAAGTTATACTGAAATGAAATCAGTGACATTCAAAATTATATTAACGTATGGTGTACGGAGGACAAGGTGTGTATATCGCAGCAACTAAAATTAAAAGCAAGAGAGAGAGAGTAATCGTATAATAGGGTTTGAACGATCGTATGCCCTTCAAATGTCATCACTACCGATTAATAAAAAAAACAATGGAATTATTTTCACAATTTATAGTTTAAAACATACAAAAATAAAAACGTTTTATACATATCAGCCAAAAAACACATTACTGTATGTACATAATCTCTTTCTAACCTAAAATGACACTAAAATTTTTAAACTTATCTAACATAAGGCTAAGTGAAATCAGTACAAAAATAAAAACTTGTATGTATCTCAAAGAAGTCATTTAAAAATTTACACGGAAAGGTTTTCCATTAATTATACATCAGGTTTGGGATCACAAGTATGTACTCAAGACTAATAAAGGGGGATGCACTGTCGAGCATGGTATTTATCTCCAGATTCGACAGATTTCTCCTGTTTTGAGCGGCCTAGAACTGTATTTTTGTTATTGAAACTGTTGCGATCAAATATTAGGAGCTGGCATATCAAATATGAAAAAAAAATACCACATTTGATTACAAAACCTACAAAATGAAACAAGCATGAAGAATAACACCAGAAACACATGTGATTATTTGAAATATAAGCATACAATAATACATCAGAATATTCTTTAAAGTTTTACATGATTGTGTGTTTACTAAATGTTTATTTTTTTCAACTTGGTTGTAGAAACAAGTAGTAATGGCAAACATTAATAACTTGTTGTTAAGGCCTTTGTGTGTTTACTAAATGTTTATTTTTTTCAACTTGGTCGTAGAAACAAGTAGTAATGGCAAACATTAATAACTTGAGGTCTTCTGCTCGATCTGCCGTTCTTATCTTCCCCGTGTTTGGCTCGGCACCTGGAAGTGTTTGATTATTTCGATTTAGTTGTTCCGAGAATTATTTCACAAGCCGTTCGTCGTTAGCGTGGTCATTATAAAGTACCTTTCTTTGTTGCTTCTGTAGTTCCCTGTCCAGAAACGTCAGTTTTTCTGTACCCACTCTCCATGCTGTCTGTTAGTGCAAGTCTCTCTTCACACCACTGCCAGTTACATTTGTTTTTCCCGCCTTTATTGATTATGTAAGTAAGATCTCTGTGATTGGAAAATAATGGTATATCCACACTTCATTACTTCAGCAAAGTTACAAATACAGGCATGTCTAGACGGACCATCCAACAGTGATGTCATCAACTCAACAAAATCTAAGTAAATGTGACGCAGTCAGTGAAAATGTGGTTATGGAAGACATCAACACGAGTTTAATAAAAGTTTGCTTTTGCCATCCCTTTTCCACCGTGGGGGCACTGTAATGTGATTGTCTATCTCACTTTTCACCATTAGATAGGAGCACGAGAGTCGATGATGGCTACCTTCCCTCCAGTTTATCACTTCCAAATAGGGAACAGCTAATGCAGATAGTCAGAGAGTAGTCTTACACAGAATTCCAAAAACAAGTTGCCACCTGGTGTTCAAAAATGGTTTAATATCCTCAATATATATCCTCATACAAGCAACATTCCTAACATAAAAAAAAAAACAAAAAAAAACTTGATTCCCCCCTTTTCAAAAATGTGCTTTTCACTAAATTAAAAAAAAATTCCTAAATTTACTGACATTGTGTGCCTAGTTTTCAAAAACTACAGACTGCCTTTAATATTATTACACTCACCTCCTGTTCCCGTTACTGTTTCTTTTGTCAATTTTCTTCAGCCATTCCTGCATCAGTTTTGTGTAATTTTCCATCAGGAAAGTCTCCTAAAAGACAATGTATCAAAAAAATGTCAGACTTCTGTTAAAACAATCATTTGTGAAAGTTTCATACAGAAAATCACAAATAAAGCAGGAATACAAGTACATTTTACAATTTCAGTTCAATATATCTGTACTTTGAAACAGAAGTTACAAAGTACAGATACTGCTCCTTAAAATGAAAATATTTTAAGGAAATTGTTCAAAAAAGTAGAACAACAATTTTTTTTAATCAAAATAAAATGTATAATAAAATTCCTAATAACTTTAATTTCAATAAGACTCAAAAACATATTTCAAACATTTTTAATACAAATGATTATAAACAGTCCACTGTGGTATTTCAAACATTTTTATAAACATTCCACTGTGATATTTCAAACATTTTTAATACAAATGTTTATAAACATTCCACTGTGATATTTCAAACATTTTTAATACAAATGTTTATAAACAGTCCACTGTGATATTTCAAACATTTTTAATAC